TGTTGGCAAAAATAACACAGAATTCCCTTCCCTCACAGCCTTTCATCTACTCCAAAATAATTATCACCATTCAAGAAGACAATACCTTGTTCTCATACATCTGTCTCTAACATCATGGGACAGAAGGGACCCAAAAGCCTTTAAGAATTCCTAAAGGCACTTCTTTCAGTTTAAGGATGACTTGGAGGCACAATGGATGACGTTTGTCTTGGCCCTTGCGCACACCAAGTGACTTTGGGCCAATCACTGTTTCCACTCACAGTTGGTCACGTGATCAGGGGCTGTACTTTGCACCATGTAAATGCTATAAAGACAGAAATAATTATTTGCTTTTCACATGACAAAGTGGCCTTGTATCGACCCAACACAGGCTGACTCAATGATGTGCAAATTTAGTGAGCCCATGCAAAGGAATTTTTTAAGCAGGTAGCTGAAATTTTAAAAAAAGACAACACTTTGTACTGCCATGATTTCATTTTGTGATCTTGTTCACAAAACTGACCCCAAGAAGCCTGGAATATTCTGAGGGGCACTTTATGTGGAAGTAGGATTGTTCTGGTTTTAGCAGCTTTCAAAAAAAGTTAAAGGCATCCTGGTGCTTCAGGCCTTCATATTTACAAGGTTTTAAGATTAGAAATGGAATTTACATTGAGCGATAGGCTGACAGGTTTGTGGCATTTCTATTTATAAAAATGCTTCCCTCCCTTGTACAGTTGCTCCATTGCCCATCTCCTAATCACCCATAATCCTTCCTAGGTCACAAGGTGGGGGAGAGCAGAGCAACTGACAGACAGAGCTGCATCCTTGGATACCTTAATGAGAACCAGATGTGAGAACCTGGGGAAGATGACAAGGTCAGCCATTTTAATGGGCTGGTGAATTTCAATGGGGTGGGGGGAAAACAGAGGAGTGGCGTATCCAGACACAAGAACACATGGTGTTTTGGAAGCATGTGGTCTTCCACAGGGTAGGGTCAGCCTAAAAGATGGGGGGGGATTCTGTTCTCTTCCTAGTTGCACTAAAATCAAATTGCACTGCTGTATTTTAAAACACAGAACCACTATAGTGAATTAAATATAAAAAAGGATATAGAATGGGGAAATTATATGGAATCACATATACTCAAGTCTCGGTCCAATCTGAGCGCTAAGACTCGAGTCAGTGTCCCTAGCATGATTACATTTCCAACTTTTTTGTTGATCAGAAATTGGAAACCTAGAATGAGATCAAGATGGGTAGCCATGTTTGTCTGTCTGTCTGTAGCAACAGAAAAGAACAAGAGTCCAGGAGCACCTTAAAGACTCACAAAATTTGTGGCAGGGGATGCGCTTTCCTGAGTCACTGCTCACTTCTTCAGATACAGCTAGAATGTGAGGCCATCTGTACTTATATCTTGGAGAGGGGAGTGATTTCAGATGCCAAATGACAACAACATCTGAAATCGCTCCACTCTCCAAGATATAAGGACAGATGGCCTCACATTCTAGCTGTATCTGAAGAAGTGACCTGGAATGACTATAACAAATGTCTCTATATTACTCCTTCCCTTTCCCCTCACACATGCTTTCATTACAGATAACAGAACAATTCTTGATGTACTCCAAAAAAACAACAACCACCAAAGCAAGTTTCAAGTAACAACTCAGACAATCTTTGCATGACATGGAGTAAAAATACAATGAATTTGGGGGGGGAATGATAGATTTCAGCACTGTTTATGTATCTGGAAGTGCCACAATCAATTCACATAGCACCCTTTAAGGAAAGACAAATGACCTACAGTACAATCCTAAACAGACTTAAATCATTCTAAGCTCACTGACTTCAATAGACTTAGAAGGGCATAACTCTTCTTACGATTGTACTGTCAGCCTGTCTTACAGTTAAAACAATCCAGTGTCTTTACCAGGATCACAGGGAATAGGTGGTGAGGTATAATATCACAGTAATTCAAGAACTCTAAACTGATGGTTTTCTTAGAAATTATGTGCTTAGGGCTGCTACCAATAGCAGAATGTTACAATGAGTACCATAGTTTATTCCCAGCTACCAGAGCAAAGAGTCTTCTGCTCTCTGTAATAGATTTCCACAAAGCTGTGCATTGCCAGTTTCTTGAGTGTGAACTGTTCCCCATCCAGCCGTGTGTACTATTTATCATGTCTTATTCAGCCAGTGTGCAACCTTCCAGACATTCCTTTGGTCCCAGTGGCATCACCAAAGCCAGAACTAGAATGGAGAGCTAGTCATTCAAAAAACTGTCTTTTGCAAGTGACAGCCAGTGGGTTTCAATGAATATACACAATGGGTTGTGAAATCAGTGTACTGGGCTGCAGCATCGGCACATTCCCTGGGACTCACTGTGCTTCTCTCCCCCCTTCAGTCTTCAGCCATGTTTATACTTTCCTGCCTACTGATTGGCTCATTCTTCAGCCATGAGTTTGAAGAATCTACACAAGAGATTCCTAACCAAACACTGCCAGGGAGCACTGTGCAAAGAAGACTAAGGGAAACAGGCAATTATCATCCATCCTCCTTTTTGCCACCTGGAATCCTCCATATCACAATCCTATATTCCTACATGCATGTACACTGGGGAAATAACTCCTTTGGATTTTACTGCAAGCAACAACCTCTGTCTTTGAATGAATCCTCACACTGCTCTCTCAAAGCAGAGAGAGCAAAACGAAATTCAGGATCAGAAGCAGAACCCAACCCCACTTTCAGCACTGTAGCATCGTTGCTTTATCCTGAAGCAAACTCACCAGCACCTTAATTGGCTTGAAGTGTTGCACGATCCAAGTCCCATGATTGTGGACAATGCCCCCAAACCCTCAGCCCAGCTATGCAGCTCAACATTCCTCATTAATTATACTCTTTATTACCTGACTGTAAAATTTACCAGCCACTCTCAGGAGTAGAGGCAAGTCCTGTAACCTGAGAGGACAGCACAGACCCCATTGGACCTCTTTTCCCAGCCCCCATCAAATACTTCACAGACCACCCAGAGCAAAACTCCTGCAGCCCACTTTCCTATTGAGCACACATCAACTACTTAAATGTGAATGGAATAAGAACAGCTTTCCTAATCAAGAATACACCACTTAATTGGCACAAATATACACTTTCCCACTAAAACTACCATCAATCAGTCACAATCCTGAGAAGCACCACAACCCAGCACCAGCTGTGCTCACTGTGATCTAAGGAAACCGCCCCAAATGAGCGAGTCTAGGTATACCATATGATTGCTCCCTAAACCCAGGATTCTCTAAGTCTCACACCTGCACCAAAACAGACTTAGACAATTGCTAGTGGAGGAATGAATACCTACAGAACATCTCTCACATACCCTGGCCCGTATGATATAATGCTTCATTGTCTTCCTGTCATGGCTCAGGTGGGGTGTCACCTGACGCTGCCACCACTCTGGATTTAGGATCCCTTGAGAAGGCCCAGAGCACCCTCCCAAGATCTTCAGACCTCCTTTTTGACTGAATAATAGGCGTGAGGACCAGGCAGAGTACAACAAGGAAAAGGTTTATTTTATAGGACGTCAAACAAACAAGGTGCACGAATAATAACAGTAAGTGGGTAAAAAGAAAAGAAATCAAATGCCCTAACATGTCTAAATATACTGTCCCTAGCTCACCATCTCAAGTGGCCCTAGACTACTTATACTTCCCTCAGGATGAGGGTTTCTGCCCCACAGCAGCCTCTCTTCTGTCTCTGTTCCCTGGAAAGAAGAACAACTTTTTCTCTTGCACCAGTTCTTTTATTCCGCAGCCCTCTTCTTCCCTATTGGTCAAAATCGGTGCCAAAACTTCCCAAGGCCTTCTGGGGTTTGTAGGCCCAGCCTCCCCTACTGCTAGCCAGGCTCCCTGGACCTAGTAGACCTCTGGTGACACAGCCCAGATCATGACACCCCCCACCACCAAATCATGGGGTCCAGCCCTGGATCCCCATTGATGCGATCTGCACACGGGATTTGGGCTGTGCTTTGCCCTCTTTTAACTCACTCAACATTAACACAGAAAAACAGTAAAACAGTATTTTGATCAACATTAAAGAGAATACAACGTCAGGTTAATGCAATCCAGGTCCTCCTGGCCCTGGGTCAAAGCTCTTCTTTAATGTCTCATCATCTAGTAGCAAGGTTTTCGCTGGGAGTAAGTTCTAAATTGGATATTAACCACGCCGTTGAGTTCAGAGGTTTTGGACATTCTGCTTTTGTGTTGGTTTCAGATGGATGACTGGCTACTATATCCTGTAACACATACAGTGCTCTTTGTCTCAAATAGTCTGAATTTAGCCTCTGAAGTTCACGAAAAAGCTCAATTAGAACATGAGGGTGAGGCTCGTTTTGAGATATCAATGTAGCTACTTCAGAATAAATGGTGTCTCTCAAAGCTTCAAACACAGAAAGATCACTGCCTGTTTCTGGTTTGAATGTTTTTATCACAGAAGTAGGATCCACTGGATCTGGCATGCTACTAAAGCTCTCCAGAGAGTCATCATCAAATTCTCTTCTCCTGCTGGTGTTAGGTTGACTTTTGTGATTAACACTAATGGAATTTTGTACTGGCACTGCAAACTCAGTCTTGAGGAACAACTGGCTCTTTTTTCCTCCACTCTGATGGTCATTTACCCAAGTCAGCCTACTTTTCTCCACTTCCTCTTCAGGCTGCTTCACAACTCTTGGCTTTTCTGCTCTAGCTGTGGAACTACTTTCCAAGGGCTTTGGAAATGCCATATCTTCAGTTTTCCCAGTAGTGTTAAGTTCTAGGGGTGGTTGCTGATGCTGTTGTTCACCGGTTTGAGCAGCATAGTTGTGTGGAAAGTCACCCAAACCAGATGAGAACATGGAATCAAAGTTGATGCGGACTTCTTCCATGCTGGCATCTTCCTCTTGATCCTTCTGGATGCAGTCAGAGTCACTGGAGGAGACTCTACCACCGTTGGCTCTGCAACACTGTCTGGAGAAGTTGCTGGAGTATGCTCACCTTGCTGCTGCTTCTCAGATCGACGACGGGTTAACACCCCTATGTAGACATCAGTTTGCCAGCTAGGTTCCTCAGGAACATTTTCAAAGTCCTTTAAGAACTGCAGGTAGACATCTTCCGCTGGATTGGCCTCCTTTTCTGTCATCTCAGGTTCATGGACTCTGGGTTCCACAGTCATCTGCTCTGCTTAATCTTCCCCCACAAACATGGCTACTGGGGTATAATCATGCACAGCTACCTTCCATGATCCACTCCAGCCTTCATATTCTATAGGTATCCTGGCCACCGGGAGGGCAATCCCTTTGGCATCCTGCAGGTTCTGCACCCATCTTTCTTCACCCGGGATTAAATATTTAGGATCCACAAGAGAGTGGTGGACGGTGGACAACAGGGAGCTGGTGTCTTGCCAGGCTGCAACACTACGCCTATTCCACAGTGACTTCCATATGGTGGCACCAAGGAATACATTCTGCGTTGAACTCTGGAGGAGTGGGGTGGGGGCCCACTGAAATCATGTGGTATGGGGGGTACTTGCCTAAGCCTTAGGGTACTGCCTTTTAAGGTGTCCCCACTTGTTGCATGAAAAACACCTTGGTGCTTTCTTCTCCGCTGTTGGTGACTTCACCCCAGCACTCAAGGATACAGGTTGCTGCTCCTGGGATGGCAGTTCCTTTATTTCTGGCTGCTTTCTGAGTTGGGGAGGGGACTTAGGGAACTCCCTCTTATACCAGTCCTAGTTAGTGCAGTCCCTCTGCCCACCGTAGGCTTCAGCCAGTCGCTCCGCCCACTGTCCTACTTCTTGAAGGGTAGAAGGGCTCTTGACCACCAGGGGGCACCTTATGTACTCAGGAAGAAGAGTCAGGAACCGGTCAATGCACATCAGGGCCTTGACATCAGCCAGGGTCTTGGCATCAGCAACATCCACCCACAAGTCATAAGCTTTTCCTAGTCTGTGTATTAACTGTAGGTAGGACACGTTCCCTTCCAGTCTGATCTCTCTGAAGTGCTTCTGGCCCCCTTCCTTAGTGAATCCCACTCTCTCCTGCACTCTCTGCTTGAACAGCTTGTAGTCTGTTCTTTCTTCACCTTCCATCTGCCCAGACACTGAAGCTAGAACACCACTCAAATGCGGTCTCAGCTTTTCCGTGTACAGCTCTGAGGGGACCTTGTAGTTGATACAGATTTGTTCAGAATTCTGCAGGAAGGCCTCAATGTCTTCCCCTTCCTTGAACCTGGGGTACTTCCGACGGTCCTCTTTCACCGTGGCATCTGTAGGAGGTTGGCCCTTTTCTAGCTTAGCCATCACAAGCTCATGCGCCAGTCTAATTTTCTCCCTTTCTAGCTCCATCCTCTCTCGCTCTAGTTCCAACTTAGCTGCAGCCTGTTTCTCCTGTAATCTAGCTGCAGTCTCCTCTTTCTACAGCCTTGCTTTCTCTAACTCAAGGTCTGCCTGTTTAAGTTGCAGCTGGAGACATAAGGTCTCTTCACTCAGGGATGCCATTGCTTTCTCTGATGTGTCCTCCACTGACATGAGACCTGCAGCCCCTGTTCGGGTCTTGCATCTAGCAACAGGCGTGTCCTCTGGTTTTTCTTTCCCAGATAGGAGGAACATGCACTACCTAACTCTGCCTCACTATTCAGTTGATCCGACAACTAGAACATAAACAAAACCTTTTCACTACACCTTACCAGCCCCTTACTTGATCTTGCAAGCACCTTCAGACAATGGGGCTTCCTTAAGCCCAAAAGCAAAAAAATAAATAAATAAAAATCTCTCTGCCAAGGCCAAATGGCACTCTGCCTCACCAGGGTCCAAAATTAGTCCATCCCACTGCTACAGCCACCACTATGGATTTAGGATCCCTTGAGAAGGCCCAGAACACCCTCCCAAGACCTTCAGACCTCCCTTTTGGCCGAATAATAGGCCAAAAGTACAGGCCAGGCAGAGTACAACAAGGAAAAGTTTTATTTTATAGGAGGCCAAACAAACAAGGTGCAGGAATAATAACAGTAAGTGGGTGAAAAGAAAAAAAATCAAATGCTCTAACACGTCTAAATATACTGTCCCTAGCTCACTATCTCAAGTTGCCTTAGACTACTCACCCTTTCCTCAGGATGAGGGTTTCTTCCCTACAGCAGCCTCTCTTCTGGATGATAAAAGGCTGACTTCGCAGCGGCTGCTACCTGGGCCTCCATCGTTAAGGAGGCATACGGAAGCACTCCCAAACTCCTAATCTCCAATGCTGGCACCAACGGTGCCCCATCGAAAGTCAGGAGTGGGATCCCTACCCTCGGGCCACTCCAACTCAGGCACAGGACCTCCATCTTCGTCGGATTCAATTTCAATCGACTCAGTCTAAGCCAACCATTAAATTTAGAAAGTCAAAGTTTGAGAACCTCAGCCTAAAAACAAAAAATCTACCACTCTATAATCAAACCTAGTGTCATAGATAACAAGAAAGTTAGATCCATATAAAGCTAAAGCTAAAAATGTCTCTGGAAATCAGTTTTCAACTCTTTCAGGATGCCAAAAAAAAAGAGGAAAAAGATAACTCTAAATCACCATTCCTCCCTCCCTCCCTCTCGCTCTCTCTCTCTCTCTCTCTCACGCACCAGTTTTCTTTGAGATGAACCTCATAGGAGTTCCATATTTTAATCCTGATAACAAAGCATTTGGGTCTGACATTAGATCCCATGTCACTCAACATCATGAGAGACCAAAAAAGAGGCAAGAAGATTCTGCATGGTTCATTACACATTTATTACAGGTTAGTGCTCCTGACAACCCAAGAAGGCCTCAAAGAGATCTTCCCCCATTCCTCATTATTAAAACAGGGCTAAGCAGAGAGAGGTGAAGTCTCCAGAGTTACAAAGCAGTGTCATCTGTTGATTTCTTTTGATGTCTGGTTATAGATTCAGGCAAGGGTCATTTCATAGAAAAAGAGGTGCAGGAGCTCATTTGCATAACTCATTTGCATATACCACACCCCCTGACAAAGGGAAGGCATTCAAGCAAGCCTGGGTTCCCTTCCTGACATTCTCCAGGTGCCCCGTGGCTACAGGGCCCCTTGAGAAGTTCGGGCAGGGAACCCAGGCATATTTAGAAATGGGGAAGGGAAAGAAAGGCATTTAAATCCCCCCCACTTCCCCGAGTTTCTCCGCAAAAGTGCAGAGGCTTCCCCTCCTCAGCCAACCCACCGTGGCAGGCTGGCTGGAGAAGGGAAGGGCAGGCAGGCAGATATGCCTGGCTTCCTTGCCCAATCTTCTCCAGGTCCCCCACAACTGCAGGGCACCTGGAGAAGATCGGGCAGGGAACCCAGGCATGTTTAGAATGCCTTTCTTTCTTTTCCCCAGATGAGGAAGGGGAAAAAAGGCATTTAAATCCCCCCCTTCCCTGAGTTTCTCCGCAAAAGCAGAGAGGCTCAGGAGGAAAGGGGGGCATATGTCTGCCCGCCTCTCCCCTTCCCCTCTCCAGCCGGCCCGCCGCGGCAGGCTGGCTAGAGAAGGGGAGGGCAGGCGAGCAGACATGCCTGGGTTCCCTGCCTAGAGAAGATCAGGCAGGGAACTCAGCCATGTTTAGAGTGCTTCCCTTCCCCATCCGGCATTTAAATCCCCCCCAGGTGGTGGGGGAGTTCTGCAGGCCTTCCCTGGCCCGTCTGCCCGGGCACATTCCGGCAGGAAATTACCCCTGGAATCAGGTGGGGTCGCCATGTTGGACTGAAGTGACAGAAAAAAAATTGAGTCCAGTCAGGCACCTTTAAGGCCAACAAAGTTTCAGTCTGGGTATAAGCTTTCATGGGCATGCACACTTTTTCAGATGCCTGGTTATATACCTAGTGTCCAAAGAGCCACACTTCAGAATTTATCTACATCACCATGCAAGGTAATCAATTCTCACGTTACGTTTTGAGGTGTCTACCTAAGATATTTTGAGTGTGCACCTAGAAGTTTAAAGCATTAATTCATGAAATGTTTACAAACACATGCATCACACAGGTATAAACATCAGAGTGCCACAATTGGCTGCAACTCTTTGTCGAGCATATACCTACTGACAAACCTAATGTAATGTGTGAAAGGATCACTGTGGCTGATTTCTAGAGGTTTTTCCAAGTCTAATTAATGAAATCTGTAAACAATACACAGAAAGATGTCCTCCCATTATACAATTTAAAGTGGTTGTGTTTTTTAAGCAAGCAAACCATGGGAGGGGGGAACTAGAGTGATCTCAAATGGCTTCAAGACTAAAAGCATTGTATGTGGGTGTCTCCATTGTAAGTTTGGGGACTGTGAGTACAGCACTCCCCATATCTGATTTTGTGTAACAGGAAGTTTCCCAATTGTTTGCAAGTAAACATGAGTTTCTTGCATCTGTTGCCTGACAAACAATCATTCCTAACAATGATTGAATTAGGGGAAATTCTGCTTCTCCATGTGTGGTTTGATCTCTCCAATTTATCAATCTTGGAATAACAAGAAATGCCATTATGGAGTTACGAAATAATACATTTTGGGAGTTTTCTAAAAAGCACTGCTAACAATGGACAAACCCCATGAAAAAGTTGCTTTATTCATTTTCTGCACACCTTCTCTAGGCACCTCTTATATCAGCATCTGGCCTCTCCCCTCGGCCCCTGCTTTTCTGCACACATACCCCCCCCGCCTCCCCTCTGTCCAGGCCAGCTGTGAATATTGGCTTGGATGGAGCCATTGTCTTCTGGACATTGGGACAGAGGAGGAGGGGAAGGTGTGAGCAGCAACACAGTAGAGCATTTGTATGCTCTTCAGTACTCTCCCCCCTCTGTCACAGCAGTCAATGGTCTACTTGTCAATTCATGGAGGAAATCAGAGCACATACAAACATCAGCATTTGGTGATTGTGAAGAGGCCTGCCTGGAGAAACACATCAGTTCATTTATAATCTCATTTCATTTTTATGGTCTGCAGTTAATACCACAGCCTATTTCATTCCATTCCATCTTACATGAGATGGGGAAAGCTGTGAGGAAAACATGCCTATTCTTTGAAAATGACTGCCCTCAGTTCACATCATACACCTGGGCCGGTTTGGTGTAGTGGTTAAGTGCGCGGACTCTAATCTGGGAGAACCGGGTTTGATTCCCCACTCCTCCACTTGCACCTGGC